TAGACTGCCACTACTACTACAGTGCTTAAAATGAACTGTATATAACTTTTACTCTTCCCCAGGTCAAATTTACAGGTTGCAATGTATCCCTAGATGTCCAGTCCTAAACACTTCTCCATGAGTACTTCAGGAACTACCTGCACTTTATCATAGATACAGTAAATGTTGTGTAAATATGATGTAAATGTGTAAGTGTCATGTGAGTATGTGAAAGAGATATTGGAACTTGAGCTGCCTCTGTCATAATAATAGCAGGGATGTAGCTTATATATGTAGGCTGCCAATGTACAATATGAGAACTCATGCCCAATTAAATGTTTTTCCGTCGTCCATAACAGACTGGAATCTGTGTATCCGCTCTGCCTCTCCCATGGACACCAGCTGTGCAGCTGGTGCTTGCTGGGAACTGCAGTCGGCCTGCAGTTGTGAGGGATTCTTAACACAATTCTCCCATGTGCATTTAAGGAAGCAGTAATGTCATGCAATTGGGGTCATATTATTATTGTGTGGATCCCGGAGAGTGATGTCAGAGGAAAGAGGAAACTAGCTAACTCCCAAACCAAGAGAGCAAAGGTTACAGTCAAACTGGCAGAGACCCAGATTGACTTAAATACTTTCCTTTCTCTCTTCCCCCTTTCTTTCCTTAAAAAAGTAAGATGTCCCGGTTTGCTTCCTTTGGCATATCTGATTATGAGCTGTAATTTATTATCATTGAGTAATTGTCATCACTAGGGGGTTTGAGATAACAGCTTTTCAAAAAGGAACATCCTGTGAAAATGTCCTACATAAATGGAACATTGTAGAGGGATGAAATGGAAACAAATGACTGAATGGATTCAATTAATTTAATTTATACATTAACGTTGGCCTTTCATCATCTCTAATGAAAAATCAACACTTTTCTAGTCTATCAAAGGGAAGATAATTTCAGTGTTCCAGATATATACCAATATGAGTGTCCTGAAATGAAAAACCAAAGCTGAGATGACACATTTGCCTATATCCTCATTGTCTACAGTGCATGTTCCCTTGTACTTGTAGGAGCAGTGATGTAAGCCTGCTGCATGAGAACACACTATGTACAAAACACTACAGCAGAAACATGAACCATTTAATAGGATAGAATGTGCTCTTTCAGTATGTCAAATCAACTAATAAAATGGTCACATTTCAATTTAACCAAACTCTATCTCCACTGCTGTCCAGTGGCATGTCAATAGAATCCACAGATGAGGAATCAAAACCTCCGTTCCAGGTGCTCAATGCTGCCATGATTTACGGTTGCTTTGCTACCTGTATTGATCGCTTAGATTAGAAGAGTAGCTGTGGTAGGGAAGCAATTTACCAGTGGTGGTATTAGGCAAACCGTTTATGTTGGAGGGAGTTGGAGAATACAGACAGGTCTTGTGGTTTCTGCCAGCACCAGTTGAGGTTTCCACCATTCTATTATCTTTGGATGAACTAGGCTACCCTGCGAGCCTTTAGCCAAGAGGGAGACTTGATATTAACAAAATGTGTGTAGCCTAGCTGACCACAGGTCTATTCAAATCTCTGACCATTCTTCCCCTATACTTAGGAACTCATTTGACCTAGGACACCAGGTGAGTACAAGTACCTTCCAGGTAGAAACAGAATTAGTGTTTCCGCCCTCCAGAACTGTAATTGAATAGCCCTACCCTATTTATTTCAGTGATGAAGTCAGCATTGGCACGCCTGTGTGATGAACTAGGGTCAGACCCTAACCCATAACCAACTAGAGCATCATGAAATTATGAAACCTTTCATCAGTGGGTTCTGGAGTCATCACTGGCCTTATAAGTTGATGGAAACATTTTCAACAATTGAAATGAGTCACCATATGCCAAATTATGTAATTACATATAATCTATCATATCCTTGGCCCAAGGTAATGCAGTTTTTTATGCCAAAAAATAAACACTTTATTACAATTATTTAAAGGCCCAGTGCAATAAGAAATTATGTTTTTCCTGTGTTTTATAACATATTGCACAATAGCTGATGAAACTAACATTGTAAATGTGTGAATTTTTTTTATCAGAGTTATTTCCTGATAGTTGCTGGTTGAAAATACAATCTACACAGGACATTCTAATCAGTTTTCCATGGTGACATCGGTTTATAGACCAATAACAAATAGAGTTCTAAACCTCTCTGCCAATAATAGCTAGTTTTCAGTTTTACCCTCCCCACTCAAACCACTCCCAGACAGACTTAGCAAAATTATTGCTTGAGAAATAGTTTTTTGCAATTTTAATGTAAATCTCTTACAGTAAGGTACTTAATTGTTACCCAGAAATGATTTGATATTGATGTAAAAATGGCTCGCATTGAACCTTTAATTAGCATGATGGCCAATGACAAATGTACTAGTCAAATTACCAAATGCATAAAGAAAATGTAAACGGTTAGCAGAGATAGATATGTTTCATTTTCCCTCTGTCATTGGGCTGATATTAAATGTAATTGCTATGATATGAGGCCTGGCCTGATCTGTATTGAGACCCTAGGAATACAATGGTATGGAAATAGGTGTCTCCCCCTAGAGGGACAAAGTGGTAAAGCTTCTTCTGATCTCTGTCCATTAGGTGTCAACTTCTCTGTCCCATCACTCTGGACAAGAAACTGCTCGAGCTCAGGCATGGGTAACGTCTCCTCTAAGCTTAGTGAAGATAAATGACAACATTTAAGACTGCAATGTCACATTCTCATTTAGGTTCTTAAGGCTTAAATGAGACATTGCATTAGTCTCAGAATCTATTTGGCAAACCATGTAAATTATCCTATAGATCATTTAAGTAATTTCATTCTTTGTAAAGTATGTCTCGTTGGTTGAATTCAAGAGTATTCACAGCAATATTGAATCCTTCACCCTATTCAATAGATGTTAAGGTTATATGCAAATGGTTTTCATAAATCAGTTTAATGAGCATAGGGTAATGGTTAGTGAATGATACTTATCAGACACCATAAGTGCTATTTCCAATAAATACATAGAGCTGTTCATTCATATGGGGATTCAGCTCCTGATGGATATAGGATCAGCACTTGACCTTGGAGTGATTCCAAGACAGCGCTAAAGTCAACCTGTACATCATCTGTCCCATAAAGGCTTGACCAATCTTTAAGGATAACACTTCTTAATGGAAAATGTATTTTATGTTACATATTAGACTTCTGGTGTCACTGATTCATTCATCATGGCGATCTATTCGGGGACAAGATATCACAGTGCCGTCACATTTTTAAGCAAGCTTTTAGTACATGCTTTTTTTTTGTCGCTTTTACAAATTTGTTCAAAAATAAATTGTTCTAAACATATATCCTTTCTATTTTAGGTTTTTGGGGCGTTGTGGCTTCTATTTTGATGTTTTGGTATGTTTTTACTGTGCACACAAAAGAAATCCACATGGGATATATCTATCTTCAATATGCCTGCGGAAAAGATGTCACCCTACTGCAGAGTTTTTATGTAATTAGCACTACCTGTACCAAACAACTTTCCCATGCATATCAGTCATATTCAGTGTGTTCACATGAACTTGTACCCATTTCATTTGGAGAGGGAAACATGATGAGGCTTTGGAGAAGTGATTGTTCACTGAGCTTTGGCTCATACTCTGCTGGAGTGAAACGCTTGTATAGAAACTGTTGCACAACATTCTAGTGAGAAGGATCAGACCTTTCCTGCAATCTCTTAGCTCTACGCATACAGTCCTCCCTCCTCCTTCGTGAGTGTTCATTACGCACACAGTGCCGCAATCCATCTCACTAAAGCTAAAGCATGCCATGGTACAGTAGAGGGCTGAAAACAACAAACAACCTTTCAGGAGGAATGAAATAAAAGAGGGTCATGCTGAAGAAGACTCTGAGACAAACACTGAGACAAAAATGGATTGATTAGGTATGTGAGCACTTTGTTGATGGTGATGAAAGGAATAGCTTCTCCACTATGTGAGGGATGACAGGAGTCCAAAACGTGGTGCTTGAGAGATAAGGAGCTGTCTGAACAGCTGGTTGAATGTCCCTGTCAGTGTGTGGTTTGTTTCCAAGCTGATGTCCTTAACTGGAGGTTATGTCTGTGTGTCCCTGCCCTACTCTGATGTTCCCTGTTGAGCTAACAGAGTGCCGTAATAAGATGATCACTTTTTCATCATCCCTTTGGAATGACTACAGACACCGACAGGCAGGGGGATTGTGGGAAAATCCACCCTGACATTTCAAAAGACAATTGCCAAGGGAAGGCTTCAGCGAAGGGTGCTCACATCTGCACAACTCCTCTCCTCCAAGGCGGCCTCTCACACATACTCTGATTCTTAATCCCTTTCATTGGTCCCTTGGCTCCAGATCTCTTATTTTCATTGGTTCTTTGGCATATCAAATAGCAAATCTGTTTGCAAATGTATATGTGTACATGTCCAGAGAGCATAGTGTTTATAATGCTCCCGTGCAGGAGCTGCATGGAGGGACCTACCAGATGTATTGGCCTGTTATTTGTGTTATATCCTCAGGCCTGCATAATGTAGAAATATACCATTGTTTTTCATGGTATGAATGTTAAGATAAACACTAATATTCAAGACATTGTAATAATCACCAGAAGAGCATCTCTGTTAACTCTGTTACTGCAGTTGCAGTTTAGTGTCTTCCTCCTCAGCCATTACAAAAGGCTTGCACCAGATGCCTCGTTAAGAGAGTAAACTCCTCTTGTTTTTCACCATGAGTTACAACAGCAGCCTTCGTCCTGCTGATAGTTAAATATGAAACGAGACTTGGGGCCCTCCCTGTCTGCCCTCCTCAGATCTCTGGCCAGAACGGAACTGTAAATTGTGCGACCTCATGAAATATCTGAGCAATATGTCAGAGCAGAGATAGCTGGGACACGAATGTGGAAACTGAGCTTTGATGCAAGTGACACTGCACTATATCACAATATACAGTATGACTTCCCATGGCATTGAAACAAACACAGCCGAGCCAGGTTTATGAAAGAAAAAAAGTGTTTTACTGAAAAAATCTATGGTCCATTTTTTATATCTTATAATTTCATTGTACATAATTGTATAAACATGAACATAAATGGACACCGATAAGAAACTTACATTATGATTAAAATACATTACTCCTCTTCTTAGCAGGTATGACTAAAATGCTTTTAAGAGGTTAACCATTTTTGTTTTCACGTTTACATTGGTCATACGCTGACATACAGTGTTAAGTGGTAAAAGTTAAAATAAAAACATGAACAATTAGATATCAACAATAAAACATTCTAATTAACAGTTTCAATGGACTCATCCATTCATTTCTGAGGTTGAGAGCTTCAGTGGTCATGGAATGAGCTGATATGCTTCAATGAATGCTACCTGGCAAATCAACGCAATGATACATAATAACATACAGTATGAGGTTTGACAATGATACCCCACAACACGACCACACTGCCTCCCAACACGCTACAATGATTAGCTGACATGGGGCAAAGCAGGGATGGAGGTGCGGTGCTTCAGTCTGTGAGTGTCCAACTCCTGGGGGTTAGGGGGGTTTTGGGGGGGACGTGAACAGAGTAGCCTCTCCCATCGTCTCTCCGAGTGCTTTAGTGTGGTTAGTGGAGGAGGTGGGTGAGGGCAGTAGGTGGAGGAGAGGTGGAGGTGGGTGGTTTGGTGTGAACTTGAGACCGCCGGTGGACACCAGGCTGATGGAGACAGCTGATGTTGATGTGAGGACTGCCCATGGGAGGTGAGGGAGAGGAGGGGGCAGGGAGTTTTCACAGCCAATAGAGTTAGTTGCCCATGGTCATGGCTAGTTGGGATGATCAGTGTGTTTTACCACTACAGACAGACAGCCAGAGGGTCAGTGGTGCGCCTCAGAGGAAGTCCTCATCCACTACGTGTGGTGTGGCCGGCTGCCTTAGGAGTTCTTGGCTGAGATCTTTATGGTGATGGTCTTCACCTCTGAGTATTCCTTCAGGCCACAATCCCCCCTGCAAACACACACACACCATGTCAGTTTAAACACATTTCTAATGAACTGTAGCAAGCTTATTGTGTACAAAGCTTCATTTGGGAATATTTTGCAACCAAACTTTTCTCTATTGTAAGCACACAGTTTACATGAATACTTGCTTGGCTTTAGTCATGCACTTTCAGACAGTGGGCTAGGAACCAGAAAATAATACTTACAATTCACGCCCGTTACCAGACATTTTATATCCTCCAAATGGACACTGCGTGCTCAGGGCATTGAAACAGTTTATCCTAAGAAATACACAAAACATATATCAAACATCAGCTTTTGAATCTTCTGCTTTGTTTAATAATTGTATAATGTTGAATGGTAATGCTGTCAAGACTGGTTAAATTAAGAGCATGCTGAATGGAGTGTAGTTGAATACTGTATGAGCTATCGTTTAAACAGCTACAGTAGTATGCGTCAACCTTTTATATGATCTATAGGGTTAACCAGGGACACATAGATAGCTATGATGATGAGAGGGTTTACCAGACGGTTCCAGCCTGCATGGCTGTGGAGATGGTCATGGCTTTGGTGATATCGCTGGTGAACACAGCTGCCACCAGTCCGTACTCTGTGTTGTTGGCCCTCTCAATCACCTCATCAATAGTCTTGAACTTCATGATCTGCTGAACTGGTCCAAAGATCTGGAGTGTACAGTCAGCAGTACGTGTAAGATGACATGATGAAACATTCCATGATGACATCCTTGCTTAGTCACACCACTAAGTATGTGGGGGGCGAGGCCATTAGTAGACATTTTAACTCATTTGGAAACCACCTTCCGTAAAGTCATAGGGCATGGGAAAGTCATACTGTGTTCCAGTCATACTGTGAGTTTTAGTCACACTTTGTATCAGTCATTCAGTGTATCATCGTACCTCCTCTTTTGCAATGCGCATGTCATCCTTGACATTGGAGAAGACAGTGGGCTCGATGAAGAATCCTTTCAGGCCCAGGGCTTTGCCTCCACACTCCAGCCTGGCTCCCTCACTGATGCCACTTTGAATAAACTCCAGCACACGGCTCTGCTGCTCCTGGCTGATCTGGAGTAAGCGAGACAGTGAGAGGGAGGAGAGGAGAGGAGAGGAGAGGAGAGGAGAGGAGAGGAGAGGAGAGGAGAGGAGAGGAAGGGAGAGGAGAGGAGAGGAGAGGAGAGGAGAGGAGAGGAGAGGAAAAAAGTGAATATTTAAAATACAGTAAATAAAATACATTATATTTGGTCATGCACATATTGAGTCGATAATTGACATGTTTTGACATAGAGGGTATTGTTTGACTCCTCCCTCCCTTGCAGGGTCTATGGCCCTCCATCCTCACCTGTGGGCCCTGCTCTGTGGTGGGGTCGAAGGGGCTTCCTACTGTCCTCCTCTTGGCCCTCTCCACACTCCTGCGCACAAACTCCTCATAGATGGGCTCTTCCACGAAGATACGAGAGCCTGCAGTGCAGCACTGGCCTGCATTGAAGAACACTCCCTGGTGGGCCTGCTCCACAGCCAAGATCCACTGAGGAAGAAGAAGAAGAGGAAGAGGGGGGCTCAGTATACAGTTCATTTTAGCGGTATGTGGTAGTATATTAGAACATATTGAAAAATGTTGCTGAAATTCCATATGGTTCTTATAAATTACATTCATTAAACACGAATATCATTAATGCACATACACTACACATGCACAAAATGTATTTTCCAATTATGGTCAGAATGTTTTCTACCACGGTCCAGCTATTCTCTGTGCTGTGCATTTGCTATCTGACACCTGAGAGACAGGCCCCTGCCGTGTCACGCAAGGGGTTAACGGAGCCTAGTGATTTATGGGTCTCGGCTGATGCAGGCGGCCGGGGCAGGTTCCATTCCCCTGATTTACGGGCCTTGGGGAGCCCCTCTCGCGGCTGCTGAAAGCATTTGAAAGCCCCGGCACCCCCAGTTCTGTGAGACACTTAGAGCTTACATGAGAGCCATCCATCCATTGGTTTTCACAGCCCTGTGAAGCCCAGCGGAAGCTTTTGAAGATGCCAGAGCTCTCACTCCATGTGGACACATCCACTGTCTCATTTTGCATGTCAGACTAAATTATTGGACAAAACATTGTAAATAATCCCCCCTCAGCCCTCTATCAAGGCAATGTCTTTAAGGCAGGGGTTCGCAAACTTTTTTGGCCCGCGACCCCATTTTGTTATCAAAACATTTTACGCGACCCCACCATGTAAAAATAAAGTGATGTAATCAACTGCCAATGTTTACTTTTTTAATTGGGGCTATGATAGTCTATTACAAACAGTCTGACAGTGCTTTTCACAGTATTTCAATCTAAAGGAAGTATGGTTTGAAATGACTGAAATGCATCAGAAAGGTGTTGAGAAGTTCAGAAGATCATCAGGCACACATTTTGTATGATCTTCTGTGTAGAGAAAAACATCATCATTGATGGTGTTCTTTTCCCCCAGTCTGATTTATTGCCTGGTCTTGTCCACTCTGTTCTAATGAGACCTGCATGGCTTGTGGGCATTGTAGAGGGAAACAGTGATGGGGCCATAATATTTGAAAGCTTAAAGGTTCAAAAGATAGAGCCACATTTGTAGGAAAAAAACAGAAATGGCTCTGTTTTTTACATCTAGTGCATATTTTATTTCAGCGTTTCTCTCGCGACCCCATTTTCAAATCAGGCGACCCCACATGGGGAACACCTGCGTCCATCTGGAGGACCACCTATGGGTAAACGGGAGGAACTAATAAGACAGTGTCATCAAACTTACAATCAGCGTCTGCAAAAATAATGTTGGGATTCTTTCCTCCTAGCTCCAGCGTTACTCTCTTCAAATTACTCTTCCCAGCTGCTACTTGGATCAGCTTGCCGACCTGGGGAGGAAACAGGGCTTGGGTTTAGTTTACTCAAGCAGACACAGGACGACCTGTGGCCAGATCACTAAATGGGATGCAGCCATTAAATAGCTTAGCAGGTTGGTTAGGCCCAAAACAGGGGACGCACCACTGGGCCCGCTGAAACACGAGTGTGCCAAACACACAGCCGAAATATCTATTACAGGTTCTGGGAGGCTTCAGCAGGAAAATAAAGTGATGTTTCAGCAGTGAACAGCATCTCTTGTTTAATCAAGCTCAGGAAGAAGCAACCACAGGTTGTGGTGGTGGCAGCAGCAGCCTGGGCTTGTGGCACATTGAATTACCTAACTGTGAAAAGTGGTAAAGTGGTGCCTGTTTGGTGTGATGTGGGCCTACACTGCCCTGGCTGGCAGCGCTGAATGCTGAGGATGATCTGAGGAGTTGGGAGTGTTTTAACAAACAGCAGCAGGAGCTTTCCTTTCGACTTCTCTGTTCACAATTTCCCCCTCATCAAAAGTGTTGCTCTCACCATTATCCAAATACTGCTGAATTCCACAGCCCTTTCCCGTCTCCCTCCAGACTCACACAGTGGAGACGTGTAAAAACTGTGGTTCTCTAGTAATGCATGGCGTGAGCTCTCAGTGAAAATGAATCGCTTGCGAGTATTTGAGTCTGCCCAGCTGCTCTTATTATACTGATGTATTGTATTGACCCCAACATTATTTCTCAACACTATGAGATGAGATATACCCTCATTACATAGAGACAAGCCTGAGAAAGTGAGCGAGCAGTATTCATAACCATAAACTAACAAGCACACTTCCTGTCCACCCAGGAGTCACTGACACATATTATTTAGTTTTCCAGGAGACAGTGAGAAGACCAGCGCTGGGAGAAGATAGAGGGAGTCAAGGGAGGAGGAAAAAACAAATCTGAGACCCTCCCCAACACCCTCCCCCCCAGTGGAAAAGAGCGATGCCTCATCTCTTCGCACGAACAATGTTTAACGCTGGAATGTCTCCCTTTCCCAATAATGCCAAACTGCATTACTCTGTGTTAGGACATGAGCAGGGCAGCCTGCTGAGTGTTCTGGTTAGAGTGGTAGAGCAGCTGTGTGATAGGGACAGCAGGACAAACCTTCCTCTGGCAGGCAGGCAGGCAGCACGCTCTCTAAAGCTGTCCTGGCTGTCGCTGTCTTTGATAGCGAGGCTCAAGGGGTGTTGACTAACATGACGTTAGTGTGCGTTCACTGAAGTGTAAAGGAAACACGCTGGGCTGGCTCCCACTTTGGCCACTACTGTGGAGAGTCACAGCTTCGTGTGTGTGTGAGTACAAGAATGAGGCACCGCTGTCGCAATGACCACCTGAAACCACACCACCCCTCCAGCCTCTACCCATCCACCCCTCTACCCCCTCCAGCCTCTCAGAGGATGCTGGGTCCACTGTCCCCTCTCGCCCGGTGTGACTGAGACCCAAGGTGACTCACTGTCTGGGCATCTACATTCTCTCACAGCAGCGCTTCATCCACTCTGTAATTGACTCCAGATCACAGGAAACAACAACAGAGAAAGCAGTTAAAGACAACTGGCCACTTTTTGGGGAAATGTTCTGTAACCGCCGATGGTAAAAAAGAGGAAGGCTAGTACGTGTGTGCTGCCTGATCGCATGTGAAGTGATGGCGGAGAAGGCCCTGTGGATGTTCATTGGTTAGGTAATGGAGCATTGATCAAATGATTCAATGATTTAAGTTCAGGCTGCATGAATGGACTCTCTAAGGATCAATAGAAACCCTATTCACTCTCATTAACTTTATTACTCCATTCAGGTTATCATTAATAACAGTTCAGATGATTTGGACATCTGGATCGTTGTCATCCTTACAGTGCTTGACTGAGATGTTGCAACATTTACATCAAAAAAAGTATAATAAACAAATCCCCTTCATTCTCAATAAAGGCCTGGATTTGATTCAACCACAACATTTAAATAAATATTTTTCTCCATATTTTGAGCGTTTGCTTTGGTTACAGCATTTCTGTTTGTCCCCTTATCACCAATAGCAATCTATTATGTCTGCACATGCGTAGCAGGGTTGGTGGGTGCTGAATACCACACAAACAGTCACTCTCCTCCCTTTCTCTCCAAACAAATCCCCAGAGTCAAAGCAGAGACACTATAAACTCTAGGGCTTCTCTAAACACTACAGAACCCTGTTTCATTTACGACATTTACACGTGATATATACGCAGGTCATTTCAAAACATATAAAATCCATCGATTTACGGCACTTCATAATTATGTTAAGATTACTGTATGTGCTCTTACTGACTGAGGGGGTACATTTGTAGTTAGCAATAACAGATGTTTATAAAATGATCTACATTAATGGAATTGGCTGTCATTCTGACTGATCACACAAGCAGAGGAATGCATTACAACCACAACATCTCCTAATTCTCACTGCCTAACATGGTGTGCCCTTGATCATTCCTAGTTTTCCATCAACTTTTTTCCACTGTCTATGAAGGCGGCTGTTTTTCCTAGGGACCTGATAGACAACTCAATGTCTGTAAGGTACAGCAGTAGGTTGTCATTACACTGATTTATGAAGCAGTTTGTCTGTGACTGGTCTACAACAGAGAGAGGAGACAGGGTGATACTGACATGAGATGTTAACAGAGAAAGGTGGAGGAGTGCTTCTGTATGTCAGTGTATGTATGTATGTGTGTGTGGTGTGTGTGTGTGTGTGTGTGGTGTGTGTGTGTGTGTGTGTGTGTGTGTGTGTGTGTGTGTGTGTGTGTGTGTGTGTGTGTGTGTGTGTGTGTGTGTGTGTGTGTGTGTGTGTGTGTGTGTGTACAGTGTAGATGTGTGTGTACTAAAGTCCTGCAGCAGACTGCTCACCTCTGATCCCCCTGTGGTGAGGAGTAATGACAGGGCAGGCAGCTTATGTAAGCCCCCATTTGTTTGTCATTTAGACTTCAATACAGGAACCCAATATCCCCTAATTACACAGCCCTCCATCTCTGCTGCTCTGCACATGTTGGTCACTGTGTCACTAAAGAAAGCAATATGGACGGTGGATTATCCGTCAATCATTTTGTTCAGGGAAATTACCTCAGTTGATCCTGTGAAAGCCACTTTGTCTATGCCCATGTGTGAAGCGATCGCAGCTCCTGCCGTTGGCCCGAATCCTGGCAAAATATTGACGACTCCCGGTGGAAACCCGGCCTGTCAAAACAATATGAGAGGAAACAAGCTTTAGAGGAGAGGACAGGAGAGCCAAGCAAAACCACAGGCAGTGTGGGGGAATCCGGACCCAACCCAACCTCCCTACCAGTAGACCAGAGAGAATGGACAGAACATCAAAAAGACAAGGGGCAAGAGAGACACACTGACTCAGAGAAGGGGAGAGGCCGAACACAGAGAGAAGACATGGAGGATGTGGATAAAGAGGCTCTAAGGACTGATTGGGTTACTGTGGTGATTGTGATGTACTGTACCTCTTTGACCAGAGATCCGATGTACAGGCAGGTGAGGGGGGTCTGCTCAGCAGGCTTCAGGACCACCGTGTTCCCACAGGCCAGTGCTGGACCTAGCTTCCACGCAGTCATCATCAGGGGGAAGTTCCACTGTAGACACAAACACCCCCCACACACACAAAAACACACACACAGAAACACACACACAGAAACACACAGAAACACACATGACATCAGACATTTGACAAAGGGCGGTCACTCATACCCAATAACTTGTCACTGCTCTCCCTGCTCTCCCTGCTCTCCCACACATTCCGTGGTTTACCCACTCATAGACTCTCACTTTCACATAGTCATGACAGGAAATGTTCTCTCGCCCTATCTATTCTCTTCCCACATCATTCTGAGAAAACAAGGAAATTGCAAAACATGTGCAGTACTTAGAGCGCGTCATGGTACTACACAGGCCAGTGTTATTTCTACTTTACACTGAACCCCAGTAGGCCTCAGCACAGACCCACACACGCTTCCTCAAGCTCTTGCACAATCAATGCTGTGTTCTTACTTCTGTCCTCCTGTCCCTTGTCTCTTTCATAGTGCCCCCCCCCCCCCCCCCCCCTCGCTCTCTTTCGCTCTCTCCCCTCCCCCTCCTCCCCCCTCTCTCTCTCTCTCTCTCTCTCTCTCTCTTTCTCTCTCTCCCCCTCCCCCCTCCTCCCCTCTCTGAGCTTACACTGACCTGGAACAGTCTCTTTCTCGGCCTGCCAACAGATTTACCCAAATATACACTCACTGATAAGCACGTCAGAGGCTTCCAGGAACCTGCACAATGTGTTTTAACAAAGGGGCTGACTCTGTCCCAGACCTCACAACCACCACCATCCCAACACCTTTCCTTCTATCCACCTCTCTTTCCATATTGAGTGGGAAGCTTTGCAGATGTGGGAGAGGGACTGTTTCATTTGTCCTCTGAGATTAACCATCTGAATAGAAAACAAACTGGAACACTCACAGGGATGATCTGTCCACACACTCCGATGGGCTCGTGTCTAGTGAACGTAAGATAGTCTCCATCTGTAGAGGAACACACAAGTACAAGGGTTGTTAGTATCCTCTGCTCTAGTTGGGTTTGGGGAAAGGAGCATGTATAAGACATTTGCAGAGCAGTGACCGGATGACACATCAAAACACCAGGTGTCCTTGTTGTGCTTTTGACCAACACAATTCATCTTGACAATACATCACACAGCACCATTCTTTTGTTACTGTACATTGAGCACAATTATACGTGTGACTCTGTTTAAAGTCAGGAGAAAGCAGTGGGTGTTAAATTGGAAGGAGATTTTCATTCCTTTTACATTGCCAGAGTAAAGGAAGATACTTGTTGAGGTGTGCCATGTTTATTCGTTCCCTACAACAGTAGTAAAAACAATCGCTATTTAGTGGAAGAAAACTGAACAGTGTTTATTACAATAGAGTTATGTGATGTTCATGAGAACAGGATGGCTAAGGCTTCAGCTGATGAAACATTGCAGCCAGAGAGGAGGAGGAGGAGGAGCTTGGACCTGGAACTAAGGCCAAAGGGTGGACTGGCCAAGTGCTTCATCTTCCCTGGTGGCCAAGATAAGAACAACTCAACATCATCCAGGCCACAGAAACAGCTCTGTTTGTTTGCTCTGTAACACTACTGCACATTGGAATAGTGCTAAAGCCAAACCCGGAACAAGCTGAGGACTGGCTGGGTTTGGTGAAGAAACACAGGAGGGGCTTGAAGAGCGACATTTTACCAGACCACAGTGCTAGTCTCAGGAGGTTGTCAGTACTAGTACTGCTTTCGTAGGTCCTCTGTTTTCTTGGTTTCTAAACAATGACTTAACATGCCTGTTAAAAGAGTGTGGATGACTTATATAGACTCCCTGATGCCAGGCCCTCAGTGAGCAGACCCCATCTGGTCCTCAGGTGGATCCCTGAGAACCAACTACTACCCCAACACCACACCACCCCAACCCACCCAACCCCTCTCCCAGCTAACGGCTGCTCTATGACAAAGCTGGGGAGTGGCTGTCCTAATTCCAATAGACTCCCCGTCGCGGTGCTTTCAAATGGCTAAATTAGCCAGAACAGCCAGCGGCCCTTGCACTTCAGTCCTGTCACTGGGCTCCACTGGTGGCAGTCTCAACAGGAGGGCGACCATTAAGGTTCAGATTTATAACTGGCCAGGGAGCAGCCATGTTTACCCTCACATCACCTCTGTGCCCTCAACACAGCTCATCTCCTGTCCTGCAGGCCCCCAAAGAGAAGCCTGCTGCTCCGCTTATCTGCTGCTAGCTAACTAGTAATCTTCACAGGACTCCTCCACCTGGCACTGGCATCCACCACATACCTCTGACCTGTAACATTCTGCCTGGGTTTTAGTTTGTTGAAATTGAAGAGAGAACTATAAGAATTCAATGTGCGTTTCGCTACATAACCCAGTGTTAGGAAGCCTGAGTTGGAATGGACTTACCCATTGGAATGGACGTTCCATGGATTTTGTCTGCGTATCCAGCATAGTATCTGAGCGTCTTTATGGTTCCCTGGAGGTCCACAAACAGGGTGGGCAGGAAAGGCTTCCCACTGTCCATGGACTCTATAGTCTGGAGAGAAAGGAGGGGGGGGGGGGGGGGGGAGAAATATATATTAAAACACAGTCTTTGTCTTTTAATTTCTTCCAAGAAACAGTGTGTCTTAACATTATCTCCGGGGTGAAACATGATACTAAAATAACATCATGCTACAGTGCCTATAAGTTATAAATCATCCTTTAAGTCTTAGGGTTATTAGGTTGATTTAACACTATTATAACCACATGGGCCAAAACGTAGTGCTTTTCTCCGGCATCTTTTAAAACAGTCCCCTTGTTTTGACATTTCTCTGTCACCATACTTTTGTTTGAAATCTGTTTTTTTACATTAATTATTGGAATCATATGCATGTCCTTTAAATTGAAGACATCTATTTTAATGTAAAGTGACATAGGATGTCTAGAAAGGCGCCTAAAAGATACAACTTATTCTTGTTATTATCTACAGTAAAAACAGTCAAACTTAATATTTTAAGGGGAACTGGTACTATGAAGATCCTTCTCTGATCTTCCATGGTACACTACATGACCAAAAGTATGTGGACAGCTGCATGTTGAAGATCTCATTCCAAAATCATGGGCATTTATATGGAGTTGGTCCCCCCTTTGCTGCTATAACAGCCTCCACTCTTCTGGGAAGGCTTTACACTAGATGTTGGAACATTGCTGTGGGGACCTGCTTCCATTCAGCCACAAGAGCATTAGTGAGGTCGGCACTGATGTTGGGCGATTAGGCCTGGCTCGCAGTCGGCGTTCCATTTCATCCCAAAGGTGTTCGATGGGGCTGAGGTCAGGACTCTGTACAGGCCAGTCAAGTTCTTCCACACCGATCTCGACAAAACCATTTCTGAATGGACCTCGCTTTGTGCACGGTGGCATTGTCATGCTGAAACAGGAAAGGACCTTCCCCAAACTGTTGCCACAAGGTTGGAAGCAGAGAATCGTCTAGAATGTCATTGTATGCTGTAGCGTTGATTTCCCTTCACTGGAACCAAGGGGCATAGCCCGAACCATGAAAAACAGCCCCAGACCATTATTCCTCCTCCACCAAACTTTACAGTTGCCACTATGCATTGGGTCAGGTAGCGTTCTCCTGGCATCCGCCAAACCCAGATTAATCCGTCGGACTGCCAGATGGTGAAGCTTGATTCATTACTCCAGAGAACGTGTTTCCACTGCTTCAGTGTCCAATGGCGGAGAGCTTTACACCACTCCAGCCGACGCTTGGCATTGCACATGGTGATCTTAGGCTTGTGTGCGCTGCTTGGCCATGGAAACCCATTTAATGAAGCTCCCGTTCTTGGTTGGGTTGTTGTATTTCTTTGTTTGAGTGACTCCCAATCAGAGGTAACGAGTGTCAGCTGTTGGCTCGTTGTCTCTGATTGGGAGCCATATTTAAACTGTCTGTTTTCACCTTGTGTTTGTGGGTTTTTGTTCCTAGTCAGTATTTGTCACTGTGGACTTCACGAATCGTTATTTGTTTTGTTGTTTTCGTGTTTCGCTTTAATTAAATAAAGCATCATGTTCGTGCAACACGCTGCGCTTTGGTCCGCTTCCTGTAACGACGATCGTGACAGAAAAACCCACCACAACTGGACCAAGCAGCGAGTTGAGGAGCTGAGTGACGAGGGTTGGAGACAGAGGAGCGAGAGGTGGGCGAGAATGATGGAGGCCTGGCCCACGGGGAGGAGAGACCCCCAGAAATTTTTTAGGGGGGGGGCTCACGATGTCGGGGCAGCAGGAGGCCGCGATGGAGCGGCCCAGCGGGTTGCCAGAGGAGGCCGCCAGGTTACGGGGGCCACTGGTCGAAGAGGGGATGGAAGGTGGAGAGGCACGGCGAGAGGTACTGGGGTGTGTTACCAGTCCGGTCCGGCCCGTTCCAGATCCCGATGTAGGGCCAGTGGTGTGTGTCCCCAGTACGGTCCGGTCCATTCCTGCTCTCCGTACCAAGCCTACGGTGTGCGTCGCCAGCCCAGCCCGGCCGGTCCCTGTTCCACGCACCAAGCCCACGGTGTGCGTCGCCAGCCCAGCCCGGCCTGTCCCTGCTCCACGCACCAAGCCTACGGGGTGCGTCGCCAGCCCAGCCCGGCCGATCCCTGCTCCACGCACCAAGCCTACGGGGTGCGTCGCCAGCCCGGTCCGGCCTGTTCCTGCCACTCGCACCAAACCTACGGTGCGCGTCGCCAGCCCGACCCGGTCGGTTCCTGCTACTCGCACCAAGCCAGGGGTGCGAGTCGTCAGCCTGGTTCGGCCCATTCCTGCTACTCGCTCCAAGCCAGGGATACGAGTCGTCAGCCTGGTGAGGCCCATTCCGGCTCCACGCACCAAGCCAGGGGTGCGTATCGTCAGCCCGGTCCGGTCCGTTACTGCTCCACGCACCAGGCCAGGGGTGCACATCGTCAGCCAGTTCCGGTCCGTTCCTGCCTCACGCGCCAAGCCAGGGGTGCGCGTCGTCAGTCCGGTGCCTGATCAGGTACCGGTCAGCTGCTCCACAACGGAGCTGAAGCAATCCGCTCCGTCGATGTCCAGTCCAGATCCAGCCAGCGGGGTCAGACCGGACCAGGGGCGCTACGGGGGGATTATGGAAGGGTGGTGGTCAAGCCCGGAGCCGGAGCCGCCTCCGAGAAGGAATGCCCACCCAGCCCTCCCCTGTTTGGGTTTTGTTGAGGCGCGGTCACAGTCCGCGCCTTTAGGGGGGGGTACTGTCACGCTCTGGCTCCGGGACTCTGTATGTTGAGCCAGGGTGTGTTCGTTTCTTTGTGTTCTGTTTCTTGGTTGGGTTGTTGTATTTCTTTGTTTGAGTGACTCCCAATCAGAGGTAACGAGTGTCAGCTGTTGGCTCGTTGTCTCTGATTGGGAGCCATATTTAAACTGTCTGTTTTCACCTTGTGTTTGTGGGTTTTTGTTCCTAGTCAGTATTTGTCACTGTGGACTTCACGAATCGTTATTTGTTTTGTTGTTTTCGTGTTTCGCTTTAATTAAATAAAGCATCATGTTCATGCAACACGCTGCGCTTTGGTCCGCTTCCTGTAACGACGATCGTGACACCGACGTACAGTTCTTGTGCTGTCGGTCCCGTTCTGTGAGCTTGTGTGGCCTACCACTTCGCGGCTGAGCCGTTGTTGCTCCTAGACGTTTTCACTTCACAATAACAGCACTTACAGTTGACCAGGGCAGCTCTAGCAGGGCAGAAAGTTGACGAACTGACTTGTTGGAAAGGTGCCACCTATGACGGTGCCACGTTGAAAGTCACTGAGCTCTTCAGTAAGGCCATTCTACTGCCAATGTTTGTCTATGGAGATTGCATGGCCGTGTGCTCGATTTTATACATCTGTCAGCAACGGGTGTGGCTGAAATAGCCGAATCCACTAATTTGAAGTGTATATAGTGTATGTCTCTTTGAGCATGTTGCTAAAACGAAGAAGTCCGGGATCTGGACTTTGAGCACTGTGGTAGACTCACTGCTAGATAGGCGCTGTCCCTCTCCACCAGGTCAGCCAGTTTAGCCAGCAGTCTACCCCTTTCTGACGCGTCCATCCTCCGCCACACTGAACCCAGGGTGAAGGCCAGCCGGGCCGCCTGCACCGCCTTGTCCACATCAGCCTGTAGAAGAAAAACTGTTTAATGATTGAATCAGCCTGAGATAGAGAAAGAGAGAAACCGTATCCAGTACACAGTTATGTCTCCACCTCCACTGAGACAAATAAAATGTGTCTGTCTATTCCGAATGATTCTTAATGGATCTTCCATTAGCATGTTTAAGGCTTGTTCAGTTATTCCACACAGAGGTGCTGATTTAGGGAAGGAGAGAAGGAACAGCCGAGCCAGAGAACCAAACCACATTAGACTAAACTCCACTCCCCGTTTGCTTTCCTTATTTTTTGGACACATAACTCACACATGGACAATGCATGAAGGAGACGATGCCAGCGCAGAGGTGGTAGGAAACAGTTGTGGAAAACCCAAGCGCAGCTCTGTCTAACAAACATCTAATCCTCAAACACTCCAAGGGAAAATAAGCGTGTTTTCATTTCTGAAAATATAAGAAATGGGGAACTACAGATTTGTTTTTATTTTCTACACTACCTTCTCTGCTTCTTGGACCTCACAGATCTGCTCTCCGTTGGCGGGGTTGTAGACTGGGAAGGTCTTTCCGCTCACAGAGTCTTGCCACTCATTGTTGATGAAAATCTGCAGGGAGAAAAGATGCAGCATTCAGTACACAGGATGGAGAGGCCCATGTGAGAGGGGAAGTCTGGTTCTAGGAGCAGCTCTGTTTCTCTTCAGAGCCCATTCAGCCATTCCTGCTTTAAAGAGGCACAGGGGCCCTGGTATAACATTTTACATGTGCAGTTTCCTCAACACACAAATGCTCAATCAAGACAGAAGTATTTACCTGATCAAATAAGAAATGTGCTGTTAAAAACCATTGATGTGTTTTATGATTAGATTATTGGGATCTGTTTGAGAGGGAGCATAATTGCAAGGTTGATGTCCAAAGTGGATCATTGGCATTGTGTGTTATATTATTTAATAAAAATGATTTGTTTTATCACATGTTACCGTGGTGCAAATAAACCAATAATCTAACTAATGGTAGTTCCTGAAAAAACAGTCTAGTGTGAGTGGAGCCTGGCTCCTACCAGTGCCTCTCAGTTATTGTGTAAAGGAGGGAGAGAGGGAGGGAGGGAGAGAGGGAGGGAGGGAGGGAGGGAGGGAGGGGGAAGAATCTGTGGAAATGTGGACAGAGATTCCTGCCTGCCCGGCATGGCTCTCTGGGGAGTACTCCAACATCCAGACAAAGAGGTGGGGGAGAGATAAATCCCTATCAGACACCAGACACCCCCTCACTCTCTCACACACACGCATACACGCACACACCCACACATACACATATACACACACACACACAGAGAGATAGAGAGAGACACACGTTTCACAACACCGCTGCTCGTTTATGAGATCATAAAACACAGGCCACACTTGGTTTCTGTGATACGTTAAAGCAAGCCGTCCGTTAAACAACCACCTGGGATTCCAAACTGACTCTTTTCAAGCTCGATAAAGACCCAAAGAAAAATAAATGTTTAGACAAATAACTGAAATGGGACATATCTCAAGGAATTGGCCTGAGTGAATGTGTTTAATAACAGAGTCATCTGAGCTTTTTTTTTTTAAAGCCCCCTTACAAACTGACCCAAGATGCAAGGTGTGGTTTCATCATACAAATGTGACGGATGTCTTATGTAAGACTAGGGTAAATAGAAGATGTCTCAGTCCCGTTGGCTTATTGACATGTTTGGGTCTATCACAGCGACTCCTCAGACACTGTTTTTAATTGATGTCAGTCTGTCTGATAGATGGGGTGTTAAGAAAACATCTGCTGGCTTAAATCCTCCTGTATACACATGTGCTCTTACCATTCTTTTATTTGAGAGGGAGAAAAGATTCACTGAGAGCAGAACTGAAAGCAGGGTTCAAGTGTCCTGCTGGCCTAGGCCTCTCTAGCGCTCCAACATGTTTACCAACGTAAACTTAGAGGCTTAAGTACAATTTAATTGGCTGTAAACTGTGAGGAGTGTTTACTTTAGGGCAGGTATAAAATGCCAGCGCACTTGGAAACGATTCAAGACTCAGCACACAGACATCACCCCCACTCCCTCCCACACACTCTCTCCTGCAGTTGGCTGCTTTACAAGAAGAACCTTGCACATGAATAACTCATGTTTGAGTGTTTTAGGTGTTCGGTATCTGCCTGTACCACTCTGCGGGCCATACCATACAGCCTTGTATACCACTTCATTGATCTGTATTAGCCTGCCCTGAACGCTTCCCCACACAGACAACAGATAGAAACAGGCCCACTGAGGGTCCTCATCCAACACATCACAGCACAACACACAAAGTGGGCCCACAGCCATTTCAGACAGCAGAATCGACACAGGCCCCCAGTGGGCTCTCTCCCAGCCACAGCCCAGCCTTCTCAGTGGGCTCTCTCCCAGCCCATCCAAGCCGAGTGTTCTCAGGCGCCTTCCATCGGGGGCCACCTTTAATCTGACTCTCATTAAGAGCACTTCATAAAAGTGTCAGTGACGACGAGGAGCTGAGGGCCTGCTACAAAAACAGAAAGCCCTATAGAGCACGGAATTAGTTTTTAAATTTATAGGGGCCACTGTAGTGGAACGCCCTAAATCAAGGGAGCCCCCTGACAGCCCCGACAGTCTGAGCAAGAATGCAGTCGGTGGGTAGCTTTATGCACGGCGTAACCCCTCTCACAAGGCACCGCCGAAGGAGAGGGGATAAAACAGGGGAACAGTGGACCAGGCCGCCATCTAAATCATGGCTAGAAAAGGACAACCATCAGCCACCGTTTGGCTCGGCCCTCTAGGGCTCAGGGGGCTGTTAGACTTTTGTCTCGTCCCATTCAGAGAGTTGATTAACACGACAAGGCTGCACATTAAATCAACTCTCAAGGTTTCTTAAAATTGCTTTTAGGTTCATTTAGAAACAAAGGGGGAAAAACAAGGATGGAAACTCAAGTGCAAAAGTGCACATTTTGAAATGATGTGTTTTCTTTTTGGTTTTCCCATCCCCCCGTGGTGTCCTTGCTCTCACCACACATGGCGGTTTCATTTGTATAGAAATCATTATCTCCATATAAGTACTCACTGCCTTTGATAATAAGCCATTATAAATAAACTGACCATGTCTTAACCCAATAATGTCTAGCAAAATGAAGAAAAAAAACTGGTATGTCAGTCCCAAAGCCTGTTTTAAGATGATAACTGACATGAGAAAGTTATATGTTGTGTTTATTGTGCAACTAGGAAAGAAAACAAGTGGTGGGACCCAGACTGCTCACAGTACACCAACATACAGACAACTGCTAAAAATGCACAGAACCTTGACACTGAATGAAACCAATCGATTTGTGTTCACGAGGAAATGCTTCAAGCTGTGTGGTTTCTTATTATTTGGTAAACACGCAGGCCATTTTGGTATTACAGAAAGTTGGCAGAGTTTGTGCTCCCGGTGCAGCCGTGACATCTGATCCTCCTACAACACAGAGAGAGAGAGCTGCCTGGCATGGATGGGAACTGGACAATCTGCAGATAGGTCATCACTTTATGCATGGGCCACAGGACAGCTGCAAACATTTAGCAACCCCCAATGTTTTTCTGTTAAAACTGTCAATCTCACAGTGCTGACAGTACTTGTCTGTTTGGCTGATGAAATGATGAAACATGCACCCTGAAGCCAACGATGAGCATAAGGCTACAGAATACACGTTTCTGATCACATCAGTGTGGCTCTATTGTTCACTATAAAGGGCTCAAAATGTCACTATCAAAATACACTCTGCTTATGTACGACATGCTCTCAATGCAATGGGACTAGGTGGTTATCATCTCGACCGAGCAAAAGGTAGAAATATAGGGGAGACCCCTGGGAATACATGTGCAATCAGCAGACATTGAGAAACTAAAGAGTAATGTTCCATCCATTCAGTGAATTCAAGGAGCAGTCCTGCTGATCCATTTCTCATCTGCCACTGTGCTCTCTCTGGAGGCTGCTCCACAACTGCACTAGGGAGTGAGGGCAGGCAGGGGATGCCAAAGTACTCACTGCAGCCAGCACAACATCTGTTTGGCCTCTAGCGTCTTCTCATGGCTCACACGCTTAAGGAATATTTAATGGCACTCATTTCTCGTCCATTTTCGGGAGGCAGGAGAGAGTAAAAAACATACATATATGTTTATACACAACAGGCCAAGATTCCACAGCCAGACGGATCCCGATCAGGGCACCTGCAGCTCTTGTCTGCACAGGAAGTTTCATATCCTTTCCTATCACAGGACCTCTATTTCCATTCTGTTTTCTGGATCTGTTTCAAGACATTTATAATTACTACTGTTACAAGCGAGGGGAGAGCATGTGAAACTGGAGCCCAGTTGGTGTTTTTTCCCCAGTCCACCTGACACCATAGAACCTTCATGTTTTCCATTCACACACCCGGAGACAATGCCACCCTGCTCTCCTGGGTGTTGAGGGGACGACCCCGCTGTCACCGACTGGCAAACATCTTTGTCTTGACTGTGTGTGTGGTGAGAAAGTTGAATCTGTTCCCCCTCACTCCTTAACGCGAGAAACAGAAATTCAATAAGAAACTGTGTTTGAATATGAATTGTCATTTGTTCAAATGGATGAAACATGCGGGAGTTGGAGTTGGGCAGCACAGCCTCTTCTAAGCCACCATGTGGTGCCAATGTCTACAGAGTCTGAGATTGACGCTTTCACTGAGGTACACTGAGTTTGTCTTTCAATCAGCTGTATCATCTGTGCAGATTTCAAACATAACATTTATCCTAATGAAATAAATATATGCGTTAAAGAAATAGCCTAATTTCATAAAATAATATTATGGATATCAAATCCCAGATTTTCATAAAGACATAAGCCTTTAAGACTGAAAGACTTAACCATACTTTTCTAAGGGTTCAAATGATTAAATGATTACATTGGTGTAATAATCTAATAGTCTATGTTTACACTACATTCTGTCAGTGGGAGAAATAACACAAATAAATGTAATCTGGGTAGAATATAACTACATCTTAAAGTGATCCACTAGTGATAAGGGGTGACTTGGGCCTTGGTGACTGTGACTTAATGTCTGGCAGACTTCTGCTCTCTGTGTATCTAAGACTCTCTAGAGAGGAGAGTTTTTTTATGGATATCAGAGGATTTATGGAGCCAGCAGTTTTTCACAATGACACCATAAGGATTTACACGTTCCATGTCAACCGGCCTGAAGACTTAAGGTATAGAAGTTAATGGGATAACCTCCCTGTCACCGGTCTTCCTTAAAGAGTGATTAAGAGACAGGCGATGCGATGTTGACGCCTCTGCTCAGACGATAATTTACACTCACTGCACAAACAGCCATTTCACACCGACGGACATTCATGGTAGCGCAAGCTCACCCTGTCACAACCAGGGATGTGTATAACTGAGTTTGTGACCGTGCGTCTGAGAGAAAGAAGGGGGGAGAGTGTGAAACGAGAAAAAGAGGGAATGGGAGAGAGAGAAGAAGAAATAGAGAACGCTCGCTGTGCTAGTTGTGATAAATCATTCAGGCTCCCAGTATCCTCTACCTTGGGGTTTGTTTGATGTTCATCGCAGTAAGATGGCGGTTTTGAAGTGGAAAACTCCAGAAGTGCAGGTCAGGCTCTGGCAAGGCAGGGCACTGACCCACACTGTGAGACAGGCCCATAATTTACACCCCAGTGGACAGCACCTAGCATTGGGGAGCCCCAGCCTTCATCTGTACTATCTCAATCAGTGACGGATTGATGGGGCCTCTTTCATTCATCCACACTGATTGACTGACTGGACTTCTCCTCACAGATTAGTTTACAAAACCCTTCCTCGCTTCAATAGACAGGTTATATGTTCCTATTAGGGCCAAAAGTGGCAGCAATTGCACAATGAAAAACAACAACAACAGTTAGCGTAAGTCAATCTGGAAAATAAAAGCCATTATTTACATTGGGAAGCTATATAATGAGCAAGGCAACTGCGTCTAGTTAAAGTCTGGTATGTTTGAACATTGTGAAGGTTGCATACGCATAGCTCTTCCTGTTTTCACTGCATTTGACACAGTTGAAAATTAAACCCTATTTGGATTACGGCCCAAATTCCTGTGTCAGGATTCACTGATTTAAAGTCCTCATTCCCCACAGTCTATGTATGTTTACAGGTGTAGGATATTAATTTGAGCACCCTGTTCCAGGAGAACTTCAATGCAGGAAATGTAAAACTTGTGGTGTATTTGAGGTTTAGAAAGGCTTCTGAAGTTTGTAATATCCATTTTGAAATTTCAGACTTGATTTTCCCTTACGAAAAATATACCAACCCCTACAAAAATGTCCATGAATTATAATCCACATAATAATTCACATGTCCTGTTGCTGCAGGATTATTTTCCTGCTGTAGCAAACTGGCTCAAATCCTACATCTGTATCAGTACACTAAACTACAACCGTGCTACAGTGACTCCAGTTTACCATTAACTTCAGTTACTTCTGTCCTACTGACAATGAGGAATCCCTGGTAAACAATTAGATAAAAAAATTATATACCTTGGCCGCTCAAACATTATTCAGTGTCATACACACTAAGTATCAATTCAAACACATTTTGTGAACTCAACTTTGCATTTCCAGGTGTCTCTCTCAACAACTTGAAGGAGAATGTGCCAGAAATGCTCCTTCCCTCCATCTCTAAAGATTTATTCTTCTAGGTGTCTGGTTTAACGACTCCTAATCATTGAGCGGTGTGAGAAGCCACCCTGGCCAGAGAAATCACCCACTAAAACCCTGAGAACGCTGGCTCTGTCTCCATTCATTAGCTATACACCACACAGTTTCTCCTTCTCCTCTCTCTCCCCGCTCTGCAAAAAGCTAAAATCATCAATAAATGCCCATCAGGGTAGGCTAATTTATGGCTTCCTTCGTGGTGCTATCAGCCCTGCGGACTACCTCACAGACGGAGAGCTCTCAAGCCGACTCTCCTGTGACCATTCAAAAGCTATGTTTTTACACTAGCTTACTACCCAGCTGGTTTCAGGCCACAAGCTATGGTGAAGTGGGGGTAGGGTGGATGGAGGAACCGAGACCCAAGCACCCTCTTTTTACGGCTGTAGCTACAGGAGAACGGGGGTGTGAAAAAGTGAGATTTTTTTATAACAAAGCTAAGGGAGACCTGAGCAGACCTTCCAAAGTCTCACTGATCTGCACAATCCCACGCAGGGAGGGAGATAGCTTAACTGACACATTCACACAAATGTCTCTTTGAGGGCAAACAGTTCATGGCTCAGTGAAAGGGACATGGGGCAAAGCGTCTATGGCGATAACACCTCTCTAGCTCACACCTCTCTACAGTCACTGTTGGTACTAAACATACTATGGGCATATCTTCAGGGACACACTATTGGTAACCTTCATGTGCAAAACATACTGTTGACTGAAAAAAATGCATGTACATGGTGACTATCTCAAACTGTATTCATATTCACTTATCAATTATCATGTTTTACAGTAAGTAGAAAAAACATCAACAGGCTCAAACTCATGTGAGACCAAGGAAACTATTCTAAACCGGAGTGTAAGGACCAGCGTTACAAGCATGTTCATTCTCAACTCTCTACTGGACGTCTGGCTGTAAAAGGCAGAGGCACATCACACAACTAGCCTACAAGGAGTGGAAGAGTGTGTAGGGCTACACAGAGAGCATGTGTCCACAGTCCTGAAGGCCAGCTCTCTCCTAGCTATAGACTCTGCTCACAGTGTTCATTCTCCCCCTGGCAGGCAGGTGGTGGGGTGGATAGAACATGAACAGGGTGTGAGGAGAGGAGAGCCTGCGTCAGGGGTGCCCATAAATCAGAGTTCTCCTGCCCCCCATGTCCACCAAACCAACAGGGACTGGATGATTCAAATTCCTGGGGGTTAATTCACCAAGGCCTGTGCTCCCTAAAGTTTGTCCTATACACTCAACCCTTTGCGTGCATTCTTTTAAATAATACTAAGCATGAGGGAGGTAGAGTGAGCGGGAGAGAGGGAAGGAGAGCTGATAGCATGACTGTGCACATAAGGCAGGCATGCAAAACCAGCTCTCCTCTTATGGCGAGTAGACCACTGTAAGTTGCTTGTTGCCTCAGTGAAGTGCCCTTTGCACTTACAACAACGAGGTGTGCGGCTAACACTGATTACAACACTGTACTTACATATTGTGCTGTTATGGAGCTCTCCTCAATAAGACGTGCCCTTTACTCTCACTCATGGCAATAAAAGCATTGGATGTCAAACTGCAGAAGGAACCATGCTACAGCAAACAGACAAACAGCCACATATTATACATGTTTGGATGGTGACTAGTAGTCAGGTCCTACTGATTTGATTAAACGTATATCAGCATTGAGTAAAGGGGAGTTGAGAAATATCCTATACTGGGCCTATACTGACATCACTGGGCCTATACTGACATCACTGGGCCTATACTGACATCACTGGGCCTAAACTGACATCACTGGGCCTATACTGACATCACTGGGCCTATACTGACATCACTGGGCCTAAACTGACATCACTGGGCCTAAACTGACATCACTGGGCCTATACTGACATCACTGGGCCTATACTGACATCACTGGGCCTATACTGACATCACTGGGCCTAAACTGACATCACTGGGCCTAAACTGACATCACTGGGCCTATACTGACATCACTGGGCCTATATTATTCTCATTAATGTAATTGTCCAAATTAAAATGTGTAAACCAAAATGACCAAAAACATGACACTTTCAGAGGAAGCCCTTGGAGTCTGATTCCTGATATAATCAGTCTATTGCTGTGTAGGCCTAATTAAACGCCCATAGCACCCATAATAACCAACCACAAGTGTAATGCACAAAAATCTATTAAAATACCCTTCAAAGACAGTTGCTAGGCTATAGCCTACACATAAAAATAAAATATGTAGGAAATATTAGACTCTTCACATTTCATAGAGTGTTCTTGCGTAATTTTGCATGAGGTCAGAAGGGTCACGCAGTCTTCTAAGGACAATAATGGACTAGAGCACAAACACTTTGCAATTAATTCTGTGAATCTAATAATTTATTCTGAATCACAGTGAAATTAATAGAATTTACAGCATGCTTAAGGGGTTCTGAAACCAGTTAAATTGCTTCTTATGCCGCAAAGAAACCAAGACCCTCCTCATTTTACGCTCAAGCTTTGATATGGTTGAATACAATTAGTTTAAATACATATTTTGAAACGAAAAAAACACACTTAAGATCAAATATGATAATATGGCTATCAAATGTATATCAGACCAAACCATGGATTTTTACAACAACAAAATTATCTTCCAAAGTGAACATTTTCAATGTAATCGTCTTTTGAAATCACAGCAACAACGTATTTTTTCTAATTTTATGCAAGTGATATAAGATACCTAGGAATCATGTTTCTAATCAATAACTGGTTAATAACATGCGATTATTATCAATCACATAACGGCAGGTTAAGGGACGTTTATTCTATCTGGACGGAATTGCGTAACGACAACATTCTATCTGAAAGAATGCTGACCTTCACTAAATGACTGCTGTCACCAGTGATAAATACTATTCATTGTACCCACTGCAGATGACATACAGACTATTTGAGTCACGGTGAATATAAAAGTGAAATAAAAACCACCTGTGCAATATAATTATGTTGGCAACACTGTTAATCATTCAAACATATCTTGGAAATGACACTCGATGTGGCCGTATGTGATAACTTTTAGAAAGGTTTCACACAGACTGTATGCCACATGTTGATGAGTTGTATTCTATGAGTTGAGCAATGAATGTGAGCAAAGATCTTAAACCAATTTTACGACGGCAAATCCAGAACTTGAATGAACATTTTAAACCTGACTCAATCACCTGTACTGTGCGCAAAGACATTGGCTAAATTGGACAGTTCCACACATTTAAAAGTGTGCGCTATCTATCATCTACAGACAAATACCATTCGGGGGAAAAAATATATTCTGCATAAGAGAAGAGATATGATACATTGAACATAAATGTGACTCGGAGTAAAATGTTATGTTGTTTCACAGACCTTGGTGTACTTGATCTCCGCGTTGGGCACCGGCGAGGGCATCATCTGGAGAGATGCCATGAGCGCAGCGGCATCAGCGTCGGTCTTCACTTCACCAGGGAGTTCGATTTTACTGGAAGTCATCGCGCCTGCCTCGGTGTGTCTGTTGCAGATGCGTCTTCGTTTTTTCTACTGATTTCTGATTAGGACTTTGGAATCCTTCCTGTGTTTATAACCAGGTGTCAGCCGCGGTCCATTTTTATTGGGTAGAGAACAGGGCCGTCCTCCTGATAGAATTAAAATCTAGCTTAATTTACATAAACAACCCCAGCCATCCATGTTGGGGAGGGAAACTACTTATCACAATGTCTCTCGTTATAAGTCAAAAGGAAACGCATTGAAATTGACATTTCATTTTATCTGTATTGAATAGATAGACCCAGTTTAAACACACTGACTTACATTTAAGATATTATAATCAATATGCTAATACAAAACGGCATCAGAATAAGATGTTATATTGAAGAAGTGGTGCTTGTGGTATTTACGAGAGAATTAAACACCTTGGTAAATGGTAAGTGTGAAAGCAATTCCTTAAACGACTCTTTAATAAAAACAACATGCTACAGACTGGAGCTGTAAAGACTCCACGGTGCGCCTTTAAGTAAACGAACCTTCTTTATATGAGACTTGTGTGAAAGAGAGATTCTGAACTTTTTTTCTCCAGATATGGGTCTACAATAGGCAAATGTATAGAGTATTTTTAAGTGCTCAGATAATTATTTTGTAGCTAATACTTCAATCTATTCATGTAATACCAGTGACCTTATTTCCATAAGAGGTGATAAGAAGCATGAGAATTCATCTTGATGCTGGACTACTTATAATAAACCCGAATGACATAATGTATTTATTATGTAGCTACACTTGTCATATTGAAGTGTGATGTCTATGAATAAGGTCCGTTTGCCACACATGTCATTAACTCGCCTGTTACAACATCCTCACAAGGTCTTAAGATGTTATTTAGTGTGGACTTAAAGCCATCACTATTATTTCCTAGTCTGTTGATGAGAGGCATCTCTCCTGTGGTGATAATTCCCTGTTAGCATTCCCGTCAAACTTCCCAATACACATTTTAACAATTTAAGCCGGCTCAAGCAATGTCTCAAAAAATAAAAGGAATTACACGGATATTTACACCTCGGGAGTGATGGTAGGCCTACTAGTCAATTGCTCACATCTCAAGATAGGCCTATAACAATTTTGAGCTAAAACAGTTAACTAATAAAACCACAAATGGCTGACATCGCATTATTGCAATTGGGTCAAACTTTTTTACATTTGAAATGTATCAATAAATCGAGTGATTGAAAGCAAAGCTCTTATACCGGCATGAGTAATCTCTCCATCACTGAGATATATAGGCCTACGGCCTAAAATATAATGTGTAGCCTTTATAATGTTAGTTGGGTGATCTTATTTGAACTCTCTCATGTGATTCCATGTTTTCATAATAAATCTACAGGCTACATTAAATGATCTAATAAGGTAGCCTACTAGGAAATCCCAAAGGCCTAGATGCAGAATTTCATTCAATGTTCTTGATATATTTTTTAGCAATAACATATTGGGCATTGTCTGCAGATAATCCGACATGTTTATTTATTTATTCCAACCTAATGGCTACTTATTGATGAAAATCTATAAAGTAGGCTATAGCCTACTGTTGTTCGACATCAATCTAGTGGAGAAGATCAATTATTACTGTGACATGGCTTTCCACATGGCTTGAATTTATTGACAATCCAAGAAGCCTCTGACAGGATAAAAAAAGTGGACGGAGTTGTATAATTTGGAAATACCCCCGCAGGGGTGCTTTGTCTCCATCACCACAGCTCCCTTTTTTCACAGCATGGGCGACACTCCTAAAGTGTCTGTTTCTCATCAAAGACAACGAAGAAGAAAATGTGACATTGATTAATGCAACCAAAACATCCCATCCTCTACCTGTCGCCTCTCCTTTTAAAAGACTACAGGGAGCAGAAGATAAGACATACATGGAGACAGTGTCACTTCCCTGCTACCTCTCCCCTCATTCTCTGTTCATTGAGCTCCCTCTGTTGGACAAAACATCAACTCCGAACTCGGTCTAATACAGTAACATGCCACCCTCTGATCCAAGTTATAATTTCATTTGGTGGCAACTTGATTGATCATAAGGTAGCCTATATGTTACCAATGTTTAAAAGGTCGAAAGCCTCGAGGGGATTTATATTCCCTATGAAATAAATGGATATTGAATTATCTGAATAGCAGGTATATGTGCAGGCAGTCACCCCTGATATAAGTGCAGGCAGTTCACCTGTGATACAAGTCAGTATGCGACGTCCATCCATGTCTGAGGATGTCGGGAGATGACGTGGAAACCGGCCACTAGGGGCAACAGTGAGAACTGTTACCTTCAAATAGGTTTCATAAGCATTTTCTTCTGGTTTCAAAGGTTTCATGTTCGAATACAGCTATAGAAAGTTGTTTTGATATATATTTTTTAAGCCTATCCCAAACCTTAACCCTTACTTTAACCATTCAGAGTTAATGTCTAAACTTAACCCTAACCTTAAAAATTCGGAGTTAATGCCTAAACTTAACCTTAAACACTTCGAAATTTGACATTTGGAACAACTTCGAAATGTGATGTTTGAGAAACATGGATGAATGTCTAATTCTGACATGAGACTGTGAGAGCTTGTTGCTAAGTGCCTAGGCACTTATAACTCCTCATAGTCAGGAACTGACACTTTTAAATACTCAATGAGTTGCATGATGAAACATCACATTATTTCAAACTTCTTGACAATGGTCTACAATACCTCAAGGCAAAGAGATAAAAGGCATATCATTAAAACATTGCCACATGCAGCACACAGCATTTACCCAACACTCTCAGAAGAGGGCAGTGGTTGGCTCTACACAATATTCTTATTGACACCAAATGGATTCATGAAATGAATATAGGTCAATATGATAAGAAATGAATAGTTAACACATATGTATAGCCAAATGAGTCACATTGTCATATAGACTAGGCTACTGCTATTCCATGGCATTCCCTCAAAATCCACAAATAGTTTTATGCTCAACATCCCACTGGGCACACCATGTCATTTCAACGTGGATAATTGAGTAATATTTGGTTTAGACATTGATCATTGAGATTACAATTCACCCACTCAAAAAGACAGCAAAAAGTTAGTTGAATTTCCAATGTGTTATCACTATGCTTTCAACCATCTAAAAGCACAACCAAATTCCAATGCAAAAACAATGTCTGATTTTTGGTTTATACAAGAGATTAATGTCTTATCACTGTGCTTCATCTAATAGCAGAAACAAATGACCTGGATGGATTGCAGTTGGGATTACATTAAATACATGGTGCAAGTGATCAATGCTGTTCGAGATTCTGTGCAGATTATTAAAGCAATTGTGAAGATCTCCACAGACCTGTGACGACCTATGCATACTATCTTGAACATGCACGATTTATATGATTACATAAGAAGACATTTATAGTTACGGTCACCTCAAAATGTGGCCATGGATGTGTTAGTCCTTTTAAGGTTGAACGTTACGTTTGTTTGTGAGACAGCCTTAACATTAGTCTACTTACTATATTACAAAAGTAATATTGAATTGTGTGTGGTTGACAATGCAACCAAATATCAACATTTAAAGGAGATGTATCTACTGCTTGGACAGTTCCATCTGAGCCACTGGCTTAATCCCGTTCTTTAACTTTTATGAGTTGGAGATATTAATCCAATATATTAATTTTTAACTTGTGGACAAGTTAATAGGCTATTTATTGTATTTCAAAAGTGATATTGAATTGTGTTTGGTAGTCAATGCAACCAAATATCAACATTTGAAGGCGATTTATCTTCTGGTTGGATTGTTCCATCTGTGCCACTGACTTAGTCTGGCTTTAATTCCAGTTTGTCTACAAATGAATAATTGATACTGTATGTTGGATTCACGTATCCATCTCAACCAAGAATCAAAGTTAAAGAATAGGCATGGCCATGGGAAGATGGTTTGGGTTGGGGTGCTGAGGAAGATTCTTCTCAGCTCATACAGTATTCATTGTATGAGTGATTTTGTGGGAATTTATTTTTATTTTTATTTGGATTTATCAGGGGGTGCTGCAGCACCCTCAGCACCTCTACTTCCCACGGCTATGAGAATCGGACTAAATCAAACCAACATTTTCAAGTGCATTTAAAGTTTAATTCGATTTGATTTAGTCCTATTCTTTAACTTAGATTTTTGGTTGAGTAGGAGATATGAATCCAACATATGATATAAATTATTAATATGTAGATAAACTTGAATTAAAGACAGACTAAGTCAGTGGCACAGATGGAACTATCCAAGAAGAAGATACATCTCCTTCAAATGTTGATATTTGTTTGCGTTGACAACCAAACACAATTCAATATCCAGTTAGTCTACAAGATATGTTGGATTCACATCTCCATCTCAACCAAAAATCAAAGTTAAAGAATATGACTCAATCTAATCTAACTTTAAATGCACTTGAAATAACATTTGATTTGATTTAGTCCTATTCTTTAACTTTTGGTTGAGATGGAGACGTGAATCCAACATATTCATGATTAACATGAAGATTACATTTGAAATCAACCAAAGCTTGAAACCATAGGCCTATATGTATTGTCTATTTTTAGTTGAACCCTGGGTTGAATTGAAAGAATAGCTGTTTAACTCTGTTAAACCTACTCATTGGAATGATTTCGATAGCAACAGTGAATACATTTAGTTATCAAGAAATCGCTCAATAATCATTCTCACGATAGCACATTGGTAGTAGTCACTGACAAATATCAATGCTAAGCTGGGCTTTGTTAAAACCCTGGATGGGAGACCAAATCAATAGCTGTAGATAGATCAACTCTCCAGTAGGAGGTGCTGCCCAGCCTATAGTTTTTTTTCTGGTTGTGGATATAACTTTGAAGATCTGACTTTGTTTCAAAGGTACAAATTCAACATATTTTATACAATGTTTGTCTATGTTGAGAATTCGTTACAATGATGACAAAATCCTGTGGTTGAAATTCGACCCTCAAAACATCAGTTTAGGTTGATTACTTTTTTCAAATCCAATGTATTTTCCACATAGATTCCACACCACAATACTTGACAAATTACGTTGAAACTTTGATTCAGCCAGTTTGTCTCCAGTCGGA